GAGGATGGTAGAAAAATATAGCTTCAGATAATAGGGGACAGTATACCGGTAGAATCCACTGTTGGACAGTGTAGCATTCTGTTGCTTTTAGTGCATAATTATATTTTTGTTTTGCAGTACGGTATGTGGAGTTTTGTTGCATTTACTTGGGCTGCATATCTGGTGTTTTTATCCTATTACAGAAACAATAAATAAATAGGACTAATTTTAGTAGTGGCCACATCTCCATTTTCCGTGGATGATTACAGCAGGTGTGAATAATGGCACACCTGACAGAAACAACAAAAGACAGTAAAATATCCCTACATGTACATGTACATGTACATAAATCTTTCATTTGCCAGCACAAGGGTTGGCAGGCCTTTGGACCATAGTGAATTATCCGCTTTGCCATCCCTTGCCCATGCTGCCAAAGGTTTATCTTTTGTTTTATCATTTGCATGTTCCTACATGTACATGTATGTTTTCTGGCTTTTCCTCTTTATTGTTACATGTACTGTACATGTATGTGCCCCCTAGTACCAATACATACTGGTACATTTGTGTATTGACTGGTAAATGATAGTAATATGAAAACAATGTGAACACTACAGTCAGAATGACACACATACATGTACCAGAACTTGTACCATACTGGTACGCTGTACCATTAAAAACTAAGAAATAAAACTTGAACGACATGCACATGTAAACATATCGGTACAGTTCATACAAAGTGTTCATGTACCGGTACAGTACATGTGCAGTATGTGACTGATGCAAGGAAGGAGGAAAATAACTTGCCACTCCAATTAATTCCAAGCAGGATGTTTTTCACAGGAGGAGAAAAGCCTGATGGAGGAAAGGGACGCAGATTTAAATGTGTGTGTGTGTAAGCCTGCATATCGCTCATCAGTATTGTACATGTAGGCCAACACCCAGTCATACAGGTGCAGTAAATGTGCCCTGCATTATACCGCTAGATTCATTAGTCATTACAACTCTTGTGTACATGTGCTAAGTTCATCGTGTCCATGTACCAAAACAGTGCTGTATACGCACATTGTGTGCTCTTTGAAGAGGTAACTGCTTTATGCAGTTTGGCCTGTATTGTGAGTTAGTTTTGTATTGCATTGTACTGTACCGGTACATGTACCGGTACGGTAAGTCTGGTTAGGCCGTACATTTTCCAGATAATAGGGGTAATTTACATAACACAAAAGTTAAAATAATACATGTAAAGGTGAGGATTTGACATTCATTTCTACATGTTCAATGTGCATACATGTATGTATGTACATTTTGATTAAAAAAAAAGCAGCCCAGCAAAGTTAGATTATTTGGTATTCTGCAAATATTGTGTTGCAATCTCATATTTTCAATTTTTTAAAGTCAGATGTGGCAAGTCTTGATTAATGAAGACATTCCTTTTGGTAATATTTTTACTGGTACATTGCAACAGCTTTTGCTACGTGTAGCTCCATTAATCAAATCACCAGTCCCACAACTTGGACAATGTTGAGGAGGTTTCAGAAAAATGGGAAACGAAGTTGAGGCTAGACATACAGTAAAAATAGCCAAACTTGTTTGACATATTTTACATGTATGAACAGTGTACGTGTGTACATGTACAGGGTGCAGTCATTGCTCATTGGGGTATGTTCTTCTTCCCACATTATCCTCTCTGGTGAGGATGAAATGGAGTAAAGCGATGGTATTTTACTGTTCACAGTGTTTTTCTGACATGCATACATGTATTTCAGAGAAAATAAAGTTATTCTCTCCTTACGGCCGACATGTACATGTACCATGTACATGTACAGTACATGTACATGTACATGTATGTACATGGACACCAGTACATGACCAAAGTAGTACCAGTACGCGTGTTGTATTAGTGGGAGCAGCACCGGATCATAAACTGTGTTGATATTATCTATTTGGGTTGCGTAGTTGCATTTCACAGTTTATAAAAGCGTCGATTTGATGCAAGGCAATGTGTCATTTGGGCCGGAGGTGGTGCATAAGCGTTATTGCTGGGGGCAGTGTTTGCTCCTGTTTCCTTCCCATAATGCCTTTCTACAATTGTGCAAAATCACTCATGCGGGATCAGCAATAAGGCTTGCTTCTTCAGTGAATTAGGGCAGATGGCTAATTGATAAAAATGTTTACACCAGGCCTCACCAAAGGAGCTGGATAAGAGTGAAAAGACCAAGGTGACTAGGCATGTCAGAAGCCCTTGTAAGTTGCCAAATGGTGATGCAGTAGCAAACTGGAAGAGGTTGCAGGATCATGGCAGCACACCGTCAGTCATTGGTCTCAGGTTGCTTTCACCATGGCTCACAAAAGGTGCCAGACTGAGAAAGTTGTCTCTACAGGGTTGATCATCTACATCTGTTGTTAAAAAAGTTCAGTAAATGACATATTTTACACCCCAAAATGCCTGTGTATTATGTAAGGCGTGAACATGTACACATTCATACATGTACATACTCGGTACATGTACGTGCCTACATGTAAGTATGTGTGCTTTTCATATCGTGAGCGCAGTTCATGGCCATTGTGATCATACATGTAAATTGCATGCAGCAAAACTGAATTACTTTAAATACCTCAGACAGTCTCCCTATTCAACAACGTGCAACGTGACCGTGTATTGACATTTGATAATGCCCGCTGAGAAGTGATAATGCCTGCTGCATAAATTACATGCTGGCACCTGGATATGAGACCGTTTAATCAATTCTGATTGGTCAAGAGTCTGTGTGTATGTGGCTTGCCACACGCTCACCAATTGGACAATTTGCACAAGGACTTTTCCATAACGTGGACGGGGGTGTTCAGGAAAATGAAAGTAAAATTCTAGAACAAAGTCACTGAAAATCCATCATATATTGACTTCTGTTGACTCTCTGACTAAACAGGTATTTATGAATGGGAATTATATGTGCTTGGCCGGTCTTAAACTATCGTTTAGGACCGGCTCGGGAGACTGAACGCTGATAATGCCCTCGTCTGCGTCTCAGAAATTAGTCACCTCCATTCTGCTTGCCAAGTACATGTACCTTTTTTTTCCCTTATTTATACATGCACTGTTAGTGTGGGCTTTCGAAATGCTAGTATTAGTCCTGTACTTGTTCTGGAATACAATATGAAAAACAAGGAACACAAGCTGTGCGTTCACATACCTGTCCAACAAGTGGTAAAATCCTCACTTCTGTGGTATCAGCCAATCAACATTTGAGTTGACATGAAAGCAACGGTTGCTGGGTTCATGGTAGTGACGTCTGTTGGGAAGTCAAGTTCAACAGAAACAGTTGAACTGATGTGGACTGCGATGGGTGTTGATCACTTGCTGTTTCAGCAGTTTGAACTGAACTAAAATCTCTCAAAAAAATTTTCTTTCTGATTTCTGACTTTCTTGAATTTCTGTCACTTGTCTCTCTGCAGGATTGCTGCACCAAAATTGAACAGTCACTCTGAACCGGTACTCCCTGACAGTACTGCAGCCAGCTGCTACTATGGGCATGACCATAAGACTCAACATCAGAGCACTGGTGTACATCCTGGTGATCGCCATGGTGCTCCTGATGTTGGACTTGCTGTTCATGATGTCCCTGGGCCGCCACAAGGCCACCATTGTCAAAAGCTCAAGTAAGTATACAGCAACACATGTCAACGAAAGATGCAGTGGTTTTCCTGTCTGTGTACATCTACATTACATTTCTATAATGTCATATTTTGGAAGTCTGATGATCATTTTGTATTCGATGACATTACCACGGTAACTGTCCATTGTTGCTGGCTTGCCATTTTTATGACAATGTACAGTTACTGTATGAAGGCCTTGAGGATGGAGTGCTCATGCATTGAGGACAGGAACAAAACTTTTGTCTTTTAGAGTCACTTTTCTGTTAGAGTCCTATTATGTACATTTTATGCTTAGTTTGTAGGGCAATACTCATTTAAGATGAGGGAAAACATAACCCTTGTCTTCCAAACTTTTCAGGTGTACATTTACATATTTGTACAAAGCACAAATGCATACCGGTTCAACTTGCTCTTGCAAATGTACCCTAAGGTACCTTGAGCTTTTCAACTCACTTTTTCGTGATGTGTGGATACTACAGAATATACCTGCACATTTAACGACGTTCTGCAAAGGTAGGTCAAATATTTATGGCTGTTTTCAGTCCTACTGAAATTGGAAAAGATGAAATTGATATGGTTCTCTTTATCCCATGAAAGTCCCGAGTTTGGAAGGTGAGGGTAGAGGACATAACGAAGAGGATTTTGACATGCACGTACTGTTCATGCGCCATCAGCTGCTGCCCAATCAATATACTTTACATACTGGTACTTTGAAAGGCGCTTCTTGAAGACCGGTGAAATAAGATCTGTTTAGCAGGTTGGCGATGGACAAAGCCTTCTCCGAAGACCTTGAAGAGCCTGTAATATCAGGGAGCTTTTCTTGAACTTGAGAGTTGGCAGTTACAGTGCAAGTCCGCCAAAGCATTGAGTAATAAACATGTATATGTACAGTCATTTGCAAAAATTTAGGACCACCCATACAAAATGTATTAACCTGAAGAAAAACCAAACTTAAACTGATCAATCATGGCAACTTACATGATGTTTATGTTCAATGTGTAACCTTGTTATCAAATAGCTATTTGACTACATTTCCATGATTTGAAATGTTAACAGTCTAATATTTAGTGTGCCCTCCTTCGTTTCTAATTAATGTAGACCTGATTTTTACCCATGCTGCTAATAAGCCTGGTTTCCATATGGTCCTTTGTAACGCAGACAGTCTGCAAGATGTAAAAACGCAGACACGAATGAAGAGACGATGCATGACGTTAATCCACTCGAAAATTGAAACAAAATGGCATTTGAAACTCTGTGATATTTTGCGGCAAATACCCTTTTAGATTAATTGTACTGCCGTATGATGCCAAACCTGTACTAGGTTTCATGCATTTCGTTGATGGTCAGCAACTTAGTTGATCATGAGGGTGTAATATTTAAGCATTAAGAAGAAAACGAGCGAAATTTGTGGAACTAAGCGAAAGAGACATCGTTTCGTGCCAGTCCTACCAGCATGCATTTTTGTATGGGGATACCACGGCTACTCGACGCAGACAGTCGGCTAAATTGAACCTGGCTCAACTTTGCCAGTCGTTCAAGTTCTGGTTTGCATTTGTCTGCGTTGTCGGCGACACCTTCATTTGGCATGTTTCCATATGTGCGCATTGCAGTTTGCATTATGATCGTGTTGCTCTGTGCATTTCTTACGTCAATATGGAAACCAGGCTTTACAGACAAAATGTTTTTTAAGACCTGCCTTTGCAAAAAATTTCATTCAGATGGAACTGTTATTCTACACTGTTATTCACCACTGTAAAAACATGTTCAATGAGACAATGTACATCAAATGCAGGCCCAGTGACAGAAATACCATTAAAATTCCAGGTGGTCAAACTTTTGCAAATGACTGTAAAGCCGTTCCATTAAAAAAAAAACCCCTTTTTTGGCATGCTTTAGTTAACATAAGTAGATGTGTATACCAGGTACGTGAACATGTGCACACGTAATAGTTTTGCTTATTGTTCAAGGTCGTACACTGGAATGCCAGTGAGCATTGTGGTGGAAACGAGATGTCTGATGGATTATTTTGTTATTCAGTGATCTTTTGTGAGCAAATACGCAGTGGCCTTTTTCGAGCTGTGAAAAGGTCTTTATTTCCTCTCTTCCTGTAAAACAAATTAATATATTCTTAATGTAGGTGTGTATGCACGGTACCTTGGCTGACTCCTTTTGTGTTACCAGAATTACGTAGTCCAACAGCACAATCCCCAAAAGAAGCATGTCCAATGTCATTTAGGAAAAACAGTACGCACGCCCGAGGTTTGCCCTAGCAGCATGGCCATACATGTATGCTTCATCCCACACAGGCTTTTTTCTCACATGACCTTGCCTCATTAAAATACCAAACTTGCTCATTGTTGTACGACATACTGTACCCATTACATGTATGTCTCTCTTCCTAACTTTTGGAAAAGCCATCTGGCTTGTACGTGTACAACTTCAGAGAGCCATTTGCATCTTTGCCAAGTGTTTCTGGTTATGGTCACTTGGTGAGAAATTGCTGCAATTTATTTTCAAATGAGAGGAAGTATGACTTTATGATTTCCCTTAAAACAGCTGGCATGTTACGGGACAGTACTGTAAATACCGGTACAGTGCAATTTGCATTCAGAGGATTTTTGTCGGTTGTGCCTTGACCTTAAACTTCAAAACATTTCCTTTCACAGAATAGCTTTGTGACTTTGCCAAGATGCCCTGAACAGAGCAGCATCGTTTTTCAAAAATAACCATACCGGGTACAGGAATGACCTAGTTCTCAGTGTACATGTACATGCACAGTAAAGAGAAATTGAGCAGTTTTAAAGGTTATTGTCGGCCATGATGTTTTCCCAATATTTTAAAACCGGTAGGTTGTCAGATTTTTTTTCTCCTTTTGTTTCCTGTCATTTCCTTCATTGTCAACATTCTGCACTGTACATATAGTCACCATACTTTCAGTATCCTGCAGATAACTCGTTAGTTTTCCTTCAGAGTTGAATAATCTTGGCTGTAGTGCCTTCAACCAGCCAACAGGCGCTTTGCCTGGTGTACTGTGAACACGCCATTATGAGCAACTGAAGCAGTTTGGTGGATTTATAGCAGGGAAAGGGCTCAACATCCCCATCGTTGCACATTTTAATTTACAGTGTATGTTGTTCCTTGGAATTGGGTCATTCCATGAGGTTGGGGCGCATTTTGTGACGGTGTCCTTGTTACATGTACATGGGTAACTTTTACCACCTGTCATGACCTGTAGGGTACATGTAGGTAATTTCCTCTTTAAAAATAACACACACCTCTGTATTTAGCCCTGCAAGATGTATAATTTGGAATCCACATGCCAGGAAATAGCTGTTCATTTTTACGGAACCCACGTACATGTAACAATGGACACTGTCATAAATTGTGTCCCAACCTCACGGAAAGACCCAATTATCACGCGAAATTCATGCACACTACTTTTTGTGTGAAATACTCGTAGAAATAGATGCTGTGAGGTCCCTCCCCCACTTTTTTTCAGAAATCTTTTTTCCTCCTGCTTTATTGTAGACATTGTTCGTACATGTATACCAGTACCATGCAGATACATTCCGTTCTCTGTGAAAAATAATTAAAAGGTTATACACATGTACATGTAGGTTGGATTCAGTTGGCTACAGTGAGTTGCATTGGTTTACATGTAACCTCGTCCCCAAGGTCTTGCCTGTGTAACACAGGACACATGACCAACCCCAGGTCAAGGAAACCCCATGTCAGGTACAGGTAATTGAATGCACCCTTTATACCGGTACATACTGTATTTTTACTGCTACCTATTACATGTAATTCTAATTGTCTTTGTTGCACCAGGGGAAAGATTTCAATGACCGCACAATGTACATATACATGTACATGCAGTTGAAATCAAAGCTGGCATAAACCTTATGGTTTAGTACTGCATTGAAAGTCACATGTGCGGACCAGTCCAGCGAATTTTCGACAGAGTCTCCCGATGGCCCCCTTACATGTAAATAGCGGTATATAGCGGAGAGCTTCGTGTTGGGCTTTGTACATGTAGGAGCAACAGAAGCTCTGCACAATACCGGTAATTGTCACAGTGCTTACTGACATTGGTTGGAGGCCCTGAAAGGACCAATGGTAACGGTAGCATTTACCATTGTCACCACATTCACGTGTGGATTCTTGTTTGATTTGGCACGGTTGGAGCCAGAAGAGAAAGTTCAGTTGCACTTCTGCATTGGTGTGAATTGCAAATTAACCTCGTGTTTTGATTCCAAACTGATTACATGTATTTGTGTAGTGTACCCTTCCAACAATGTCTGATGTCTTGCTCCACGTACCTGTACATGCACACAGTTGACATGGACGAAGCGTGGCTTCGCTTTGACCAACAGAACTTGGGTCTGACCAATTCGGCGCAGGGAGTCCTTCAGTGCCAGCGTATTCTATTAACAGGTGATTGCGGTACTCGACCTTCACGTGTATAATGAGCAATGAATGTGATTGTTTAGAGTTGCAGTGCGTGTAGAAAAATTTACTTTAACTTGTACCATTCCAGTGTTGATAGTGGAAATTAGCGGTTGAAATGGTGTGTCATTAGACCTGACTCAAGTCGGAATCTCTGTGATGTCTTCGTTTTTGCTTTGGATACGTACATGTCGAGACCGCGCGCCGTTACTTGCTTTGCGCCCTCTTGTGTCCACTTATTACATGAAATCAGTTCAGAAATCCCGACTTGACGAATCTGCCAACTGTTTGTACACAGCGAATGACTCATCTACCAAAAGTGGTAGCAGCCAATCACATTGCTGGACTTGTTTTTACATCGTTCATACCTGCATTATAATGAACGAGTCTACAAGTCTGACTATTTTGATTGGTGGAAATTCCATATACATTATGCAAGATCATGTCGTTCATATGCAATTAAGAATAACTACATATCACTGACGGGGGGAGGTTCAATTGGCATATCCGTCAAGTCAGACTTTCTGACTGGTGACGTGAGATCTACGTTGTACAATAAAGGCTATCAAATGAGGGCGCCTTATAAGGGTTATGTGAGCTGCCAGGTGGAGCGGGACGACCGTGTGGTGCGTACCAGCCGAAGGGATGGCTTACTAGGGAAGAGCAACGTAAGTTCGACTCAATTTAAGTCTACCGTAGTGTGTCATGGGCTCTTGCATGGGCCACTCCCCCCCACACTTTCTTCTGATGCAATCATTTGCTGGAAGATTTCATTTTTACGAAGGAAGCGACAGATGACTTATAACTCTGACTCTGGACCAATCTTCACCATGTCTTTTTATAAACAAGTGCATTGACGTTGGGCCACTTTTTCTTCATTTTTTTATGAGCCTTTTTGTCGGGGAAATGCAGAAATTGTATGCTGGAGTTACAACATGTGCAAAGCAATGAACTGATATAGATGCATTTTTTTAGTCGTACACTTACCATATGTTCATATCCTTAGTACACTTGAAGCTTGTACATGTACAATGTGCAGACTGTACCAGTATACAATTGTATTGAGATTTAGCAATTTGAATTACAAAAAGTTCAGTGCGATTATTAGGCCGGCCTCCATTTGTTCTGATTGCCAAATTCATGGAAAGGTAGGACATGCATGCGGCACAGCCGTCGCTGAACATTTGCCTACATGTACGTGTGTGTGCAGTGGTGCATTGGCAATCAAAAGCAGTAGCTAATGGAGGGGATGGCATAGTGACGAATCGATGGCAAATCATGCATCAACCACTCAAGATGGAATGGTTGATCAGTTTGGGTGCTGTACAAGAAAATTATTGTCTATTGTCTGGCATCTGAAAGGGTCCACGCAGTGCATTTTCCCCCAAACAGTCCTTGTGTTTTGGGCACTTTTGTGTCTCTTAAACCTTATTGTCAGTGTTTGTTTCACTGTTTTGAGGGGTATTTTGGTGCCTTTTTGATGTTTTATGCTAATGAGATTCCATATTCATGAGCAAGGCTTGATTTCATCCTCAGAAAAAAATCTCAATGTAAAAGTGCTTTGTGCCCTCCAAAGCTAGAATTTTTCATACGTTTTGGCCTACTGGTAAATTTTCTGTTCTCTTCAGTGATTCACTGTTGAGTGTGTACATGGCAATATCTCTTTCTCAAAATGTTTTCAGTTTGCAAGTTTTGGTCTCACAATTTTTAACAGAGAAACCTACAAAATGAACAGTGTCTTCCCATGGTCTTCCCTGATTTATATTACAGTGACAGCACCCTCAATTTTCTGGAAAAGCATGAAGACTTTTGAATATTTAAAAACTGTTGAGTGTCGGAAACTGTTCACTCTCACTGCTCAGTACAAACAACTTGAAAGGGATTTCAAATAGTTTTCATACAAAGAAGAGTATGAAGTTGCACAAAAAGCATGTACTATCTTTCATCTTGACATCTAATTCTGTCATGGGTGACATCTGAACAGTGTCTCCCCCGTCATGCTTGGCAGTACATGCTTGAAACAGTACATAAACTTTTATTAAAGAATGCCTTAGTACAGTGTGTCACTTTTGTTGTTGTTATTAATGGTTTATTAAGTAATCAGCATTTCCAGCCTGAAGATATGGCTGAATTATTGCTGATTTACAATTCAGACAATGTACAAAAAGACTGGTACTGTAGCCACCTATCTCCTCTTTCCAATGATATGTTATTTATTCACACACGGTCATGGATGGCTGACTAATCATTCTTTTTGGACATTGTGTTTTATTTGAATCATTTTTATTACGGCATTTATACAAAAATGATATTTCATGAGATCTCTTGAGCACTCCTTGTGATGAAATGGCACATTTTGTTTGTTAGGAACTTAATTGTCCAATGGTGGTCAACATGTTGGCCAGTCTCAGCCAAATTCATACAAAGACTTTGAAAACTGAATTTTGGAGAGACAAAATAAAATTACAAACAATGGGTAATGGAACAGCGTATCAAAATAAAGAGGTCATGACGGCAAAAGTAGATTTAATGTTAGAGATTTTTCGCTTTCGATTCCCTGGTCATGGTGATAAGTTGTGAATTGAAAACAAAACACACAAAATATTGCTAGGATATTACTGGCCCCACTTGTATGGCTAAGCTGCAGGCAGTAATCAGGCATTTTGGGAAGGTTTACTGTTGTTTGTCTGACCAGGCGGCAATGCTTATTGAGCACTTTGAAGTGCCACAGTTCTGTGTCCTTCCTCCATTGTTAAACTCTGAAGTGGGTAATTTAAATGAAGTAAAATGAAATCATGATTATAAATCTTTCCCATCAAATTCACTCACTGAATCCAAAAAGCTGATTTACATCAAAACAAGTCGACAGAATTGAACATAAAAATCTTGCAAACCCAGATTTTGTGTAACACCCATTGTACATTCATACTTCTTTGATACTAGGAACTGGAAGGCTCACAGAAGGGGGATTTGCTGTTTGAAGTGTGCAAAACCTGCAATCATTTCCAATTAGTACAAAAAATTCAAAACTTGAAACATTTTTGCCATGTACCCAAAAGATTAAATATGTTGTTTTAAATCAGTGATTTTT